TTGCATGGCGGCCTGCTTCAAGTGTTCAGAGTTATTTGAGTGATCTTATACTAGTTACAAGTAATTTGAGTGATCTTATACTAGTTACATGGCGGCCTGCTTCACGCGTTCAGAGTAATTTGAGTGATCTTATACTAGTTACATGGCGGCCTGCTTCACGTGTTCAGAGTAATTTGAGTGATCTTATACTAGTTACATGGCGGCCTGCTTCACGTGTTCAGAGTAATTTGAGTGATCTTATACTAGTTACATGGCGGCCTGCTTCACGTGTTCAGAGTAATTTGAGTGATCTTATACTAGTTACATGGCGGCCTGCTTCACGTGTTCAGAGTAATTTGAGTGATCTTATACTAGTTACATGGCGGCCTGCTTCACGTGTTCAGAGTAATTTGAGTGATCTTATACTAGTTACATGGCGGCCTGCTTCACGTGTTCAGAGTAATTTGAGTGATCTTATACTAGTTACATGGCGGCCTGCTTCACGTGTTCAGAGTAATTTGAGTGATCTTATACTAGTTACATGGCGGCCTGCTTCACGTGTTCAGAGTAATTTGAGTGATCTTATACTAGTTACATGGCGGCCTGCTTCACGTGTTCAGAGTAATTTGAGTGATCTTATACTAGTTACATGGCGGCCTGCTTCACGTGTTCAGAGTAATTTGAGTGATCTTATACTAGTTACATGGCGGCCTGCTTCACGTGTTCAGAGTAATTTGAGTGATCTTATACTAGTTACATGGCGGCCTGCTTCACGTGTTCAGAGTAATTTGAGTGATCTTATACTAGTTACATGGCGGCCTGCTTCACGTGTTCAGAGTAATTTGAGTGATCTTATACTAGTTACATGGCGGCCTGCTTCACGTGTTCAGAGTAATTTGAGTGATCTTATACTAGTTACATGGCGGCCTGCTTCACGTGTTCAGAGTAATTTGAGTGATCTTATACTAGTTACATGGCGGCCTGCTTCACGTGTTCAGAGTAATTTGAGTGATCTTATACTAGTTACATGGCGGCCTGCTTCACGTGTTCAGAGTAATTTGAGTGATCTTATACTAGTTACATGGCGGCCTGCTTCACGTGTTCAGAGTAATTTGAGTGATCTTATACTAGTTACATGGCGGCCTGCTTCACGTGTTCAGAGTAATTTGAGTGATCTTATACTAGTTACATGGCGGCCTGCTTCACGTGTTCAGAGTAATTTGAGTGATCTTATACTAGTTACATGGCGGCCTGCTTCACGTGTTCAGAGTAATTTGAGTGATCTTATACTAGTTACATGGCGGCCTGCTTCACGTGTTCAGAGTAATTTGAGTGATCTTATACTAGTTACATGGCGGCCTGCTTCACGTGTTCAGAGTAATTTGAGTGATCTTATACTAGTTACATGGCGGCCTGCTTCACGTGTTCAGAGTAATTTGAGTGATCTTATACTAGTTACATGGCGGCCTGCTTCACGTGTTCAGAGTAATTTGAGTGATCTTATACTAGTTACATGGCGGCCTGCTTCACGTGTTCAGAGTAATTTGAGTGATCTTATACTAGTTACATGGCGGCCTGCTTCACGTGTTCAGAGTAATTTGAGTGATCTTATACTAGTTACATGGCGGCCTGCTTCACGTGTTCAGAGTAATTTGAGTGATCTTATACTAGTTACATGGCGGCCTGCTTCACGTGTTCAGAGTAATTTGAGTGATCTTATACTAGTTACATGGCGGCCTGCTTCACGTGTTCAGAGTAATTTGAGTGATCTTATACTAGTTACATGGCGGCCTGCTTCACGTGTTCAGAGTAATTTGAGTGATCTTATACTAGTTACATGGCGGCCTGCTTCACGTGTTCAGAGTAATTTGAGTGATCTTATACTAGTTACATGGCGGCCTGCTTCACGTGTTCAGAGTAATTTGAGTGATCTTATACTAGTTACATGGCGGCCTGCTTCACGTGTTCAGAGTAATTTGAGTGATCTTATACTAGTTACATGGCGGCCTGCTTCACGTGTTCAGAGTAATTTGAGTGATCTTATACTAGTTACATGGCGGCCTGCTTCACGTGTTCAGAGTAATTTGAGTGATCTTATACTAGTTACATGGCGGCCTGCTTCACGTGTTCAGAGTAATTTGAGTGATCTTATACTAGTTACATGGCGGCCTGCTTCACGTGTTCAGAGTAATTTGAGTGATCTTATACTAGTTACATGGCGGCCTGCTTCACGTGTTCAGAGTAATTTGAGTGATCTTATACTAGTTACATGGCGGCCTGCTTCACGTGTTCAGAGTAATTTGAGTGATCTTATACTAGTTACATGGCGGCCTGCTTCACGTGTTCAGAGTAATTTGAGTGATCTTATACTAGTTACATGGCGGCCTGCTTCACGTGTTCAGAGTAATTTGAGTGATCTTATACTAGTTACATGGCGGCCTGCTTCACGTGTTCAGAGTAATTTGAGTGATCTTATACTAGTTACATGGCGGCCTGCTTCACGTGTTCAGAGTAATTTGAGTGATCTTATACTAGTTACATGGCGGCCTGCTTCAAGTGTTCAGAGTAATTTGAGTGATCTTATACTAGTTACATGGCGGCCTGCTTCACGTGTTCAGAGTAATTTGAGTGATCTTATACTAGTTACATGGCGGCCTGCTTCAAGTGTTCAGAGTAATTTGAGTGATCTTATACTAGTTACATGGTGGCCTGCTTCAAGTGTTCAGAGTTATTTGAGTGATCTTATACTAGTTACATGGCGGCCTGCTTCAAGTGTTCAGAGTTATTTGAGTGATCTTATACTTATTACATGACGGCCTGCTTCAAGTGTTCAGAGTAATTTGAGTGATCTTATATTAATTACATGGCGGCCAATTTTATCTGTTAAAGTGTACCAACGCGGGATCACTGAAGCTTACCGTTAAAGTAAAATAACCAGATTAAATAATAATTTCATCAATAGTATTTTCATAACATTAAAATATTCATTAAAGGTAGTTGTGAGCTGCAGCAGTTCATTGTATCTGACTTGCGCTGGAGTTATGGTTCCGTGTTTATTCCAGTGCACTAGGCTACTTAAGGCTTGCTCCCAACTGTACAAGTAATGTCATTCCCGGTACTGTTTATTACTGTTGTTTATACGAGTTTAGGGTCAACTATTCCGTCTTTGCGTATTGCAGAGTTATCTTCTCTTGGGGGCAGATATTGATTGTTACGTCACTTGTTTGTGAGAGTAACGTCATCAATTTTTGAGAAAACGACGTAATTTTCTCACACAAACCAATGACGTAACAATCAATACCTGCTCCCAAGAGAAGATAACTCTGCAATACGCAGACGGAATAAATAATGGTAGAAATATGTGAGTGTTTAAACACACAGGTTGGGGAAGAAACCATTTCCAATACTGTTCATTAAACGATGGTGGAGTTTTTGTTTTGAACACCAATTGATGTTTATTGCACAGACAAGCAGTGGTGAAGCAAACACGCTATTGTAGTATATCTAATTGAAGTACTTAGAAAAACATTCCAGAGCATGAAGCCAAGTAAATAAACACCCCCTATCAATTGTAGTCTTTTTCGTGACTACTATGTATAAGTACAAAGTATTTCCTTCCTAGTTCTGATCGTATGGGTGCGTTTTCTCTGAAGATAAATAAACTTAAAATATTACACGCCAACTTATAGATATACAAATGTACAAAAAGTAAATGTTTTTATTTATTTTCTATTTACAAAACAAAAAGACAAATAGACAGGTTTTATTTGTTTATTTCTTTATACAATTCTAATAAACAATACAGTTTTGACACTAGATTAAAGCAGATTTTAAAATATCTCTTGAAATATAAATAGAAAAAAAAAAACACTAACAGGACATATACACTACTGTTGACGCATTGGCATCGTTCAGTAAAGGATTCAGAAACGTTGAAATGAGGGAAATAAAATGTCAACATTTAAAAAAAAGAAAGTCTAAACGACGTTTTTGCACATGATTTTTAAAACAATTCTGACGAAAGGAGAATTTCACTGTTAATACGTTCCTTTTAATGTTAAGTCGACAAAACAAATTCCATTTTCCATTACACTCACAAACAAACATACACGTTAGTTATCTATATCGACTTTGCGTTAGGATTTGTTACCTCATCGTGTCTATCATCCTCGAAACTCACAGGGTTACACTCAATTACATTCTCTTCATATGTCATGACAAAATTGAAGGTACGAAGTTGAATATTTGATTGGTTTCAGGTATAACAAATCTAACCAATCGCTTAGTTTATGCCTGGCCTTTTAAGATTACAGAGGAGCGACACCGAACTTCAATGCCGATCAATTCTACCCTTGTGCTGCTGTGAGTTTCTTTTGATTTACATCAAAGGGTCAAACTAGTGTCCTTGTATTATCCACAAATTGGCGCATGCAGAGCCTTTGATTCTGACATGGCATATTCCAGGGGTGCAAAGACATTCAGTGAGTGTAACCCCTGGAGGTCAATGATGCCTAATTAGAACCAAACATTAGGACTCTCATTGTTAAAATCCTGATTTGCACCGGATCAATCCTATAATTTACCTGTAATTATGTGGTAATTTCTTATTGGTTCACAGATCAAGACCAGGCTCCAATGAAATATTATTTGTTGTTGGTGATTTCTGATTGGTTCAAAGGTTACTTGCAAATTCATATATTGGCTCCTGATTGGTTCATTTGTCCAGAGGAGAAATACAGCAAAACATTGATATAATGTCATTATGGTAGTAGTATAACAAGGTTTTAATGTATAATCAGTAACAATGTGTGTCATTGTAAAGATGAATTACCTATTTTACGGTAATCTCAAATCACATTTGCCAGTTCCTGTTATTGTTTATCCAAATATTCTCTTCTGACTTATAACTATTAGTCCGAAACATGACCGTTTATGTATTAGTTTTCTCTTACTTATGACTGATTGGTTTTATTATGATACAGGTGTATAACCTGGTACAGGTGTTTATCCTATTTCCGTACTTTTGTCTTGGTAAGTTGGTTCAGATATCCAGAGGATGAAGGCCAAGCTCCAACAGGTTTTGTTTGTTCCTTGCCTGTAGATTACTTCCTGACATCTCCCACTTACTTTTGGCTCCATCTATCTTAGTCACGAGAGCATTCAGCGACTCCTGTTAACACATAGATTTATGTCAATAACAGAAAACAGCCATTCGTCTATATTGTTCACCAGAGCATTCACCGACTCCTGTCAACAAATAGATCTATAATAATATTAATTCCAGGTTCTTGTATACCGTTTTATCACAACCTAGTTCGTAGGTTGTCTCAAAGCGGTTCACAAATTATTATCCGTGGTTATGGTGCTGCTATTTCGGCACTAACAGCTACCATTCAACAATTCTACCACTGCCCAACCACATACTCATTTACAGCTGAGTAGACTTGAACAAGCGGAGTAAAGTAAAGTATCTTGCTCAAAGATGCAACACAGTGCCTTGCCGTGGCTCGAACCCGCAACCCTTCGGTCACGAGCCCAGTGTCCTACCACTAGACTACCGTGCCTCCTATAGCCCGGTGTCCTACCACTAGACTACCGTGCCTCCTATAGCCCGGTGTCCTACCACTAGACTACCGTGACTCCTATAGCCCGGTGTCCTACCACTAGACTACCGTGACTCCTATAGCCCGGTGTCCTACCACTAGACTACCGTGCCTCCTATAGCCCGGTGTCCTACCACTAGACTACCGTGCCTCCTATAGCCCGGCGTCCTACCACTAGACTACCGTGCCTCCTATAGCCCGGTGTCCTACCACTAGACTACCGTGCCTCCTATAGCCCGGCGTCCTACCACTAGACTACCGTGCCTCCTATAGCCCGGCGTCCTACCACTAGACTACCGTGCCTCCTATAGCCCGGCGTCCTACCACTAGACTACCGTGCCTCCTATAGCCCGGCGTCCTACCACTAGACTACCGTGCCTCCTATAGCCCGGCGTCCTACCACTAGACTACCGTGCCTCCTATAGCCCGGCGTCCTACCACTAGACTACCGTGCCTCCTATAGCCCGGCGTCCTACCACTAGACTACCGTGCCTCCTATAGCCCGGCGTCCTACCACTAGACTACCGTGCCTCCTATAGCCCGGCGTCCTACCACTAGACTACCGTGCCTCCTATAGCCCGGCGTCCTACCACTAGACTACCGTGCCTCCTATAGCCCGGCGTCCTACCACTAGACTACCGTGCCTCCTATAGCCCGGCGTCCTACCACTAGACTACCGTGCCTCCTATAGCCCGGCGTCCTACCACTAGACTACCGTGCCTCCTATAGCCCGGCGTCCTACCACTAGACTACCGTGCCTCCTATAGCCCGGCGTCCTACCACTAGACTACCGTGCCTCCTATAGCCCGGCGTCCTACCACTAGACTACCGTGCCTCCTATAGCCCGGCGTCCTACCACTAGACTACCGTGCCTCCTATAGCCCGGCGTCCTACCACTAGACTACCGTGCCTCCTATAGCCCGGCGTCCTACCACTAGACTACCGTGCCTCCTATAGCCCGGCGTCCTACCACTAGACTACCGTGCCTCCTATAGCCCGGCGTCCTACCACTAGACTACCGTGCCTCCTATAGCCCGGCGTCCTACCACTAGACTACCGTGCCTCCTATAGCCCGGCGTCCTACCACTAGACTACCGTGCCTCCTATAGCCCGGTGTCCTACCACTAGACTACCGTGCCTCCTTCAAATCCATGTAAAATACCAGACACCAGCTGTTAAAAATTTCCAAATGCTTAATAATAATCAAACCACAAAAGGAGTGACGCCTACAAATACTGGTTTCGATTTCCTTATTGGTATATTTCCCTTTTTCAAACAATGTGTCAATAACTTTTCTGTACAGTTTCTTAACCTCGGAGGAAAAAACCTTGTGTGTTTGGCTAGGGAAGGGAGTAAATTACTCTTCAAACTTTCAATCTGATTTCAAATGTTTTAGAAGAGAAAGAAAGCAGTACTTCAAAAAATCAAGTCAATGTTGTCGACACATCTACTACCTGTACCTGTTCTCGTTTGTACTCTTATTGATAACAAGAGGCCCATGGGCCTTAACGGTCACCTGATATATTTATACAGAGAGTTGATTTTGTTTTTAACATGAACAGAAATATTATTCAAAGTGACAAAAAACAATAAAACCACCTTACTCAATATCTAGCATACAGATTTCAGACTGAAAAGGATTTGAAACTAGCACTTCTGATTCTTAACAAGGAAAATGAA